TCAACCAGGAAGACTTAGAAGAAGCCTTCAAGACGACGAAACAAATAAGAGTTCATCATCTAAAAGAATTGCCTTTGGAACACTCTTATTTAAACACATATGTAATCATAGGTTTAAGTCTTGCTATTTTATTTTTAATTTTACTATTTTACTGTTTTAGGAAATTTAAGACTTCAGAAAAAGGTTGTGCAAATGTGCAAATTGAATTGTCTGATTTGAATTCACAACAATCCACGTTTGCAACATCTTAAGGAGGGAGGAGTTATATTAACCAATTGCCATGCTGATTTATAATCGATTATCTATTTTTTATATGCTTTAATGTGCTTACCCCTTTCCTCTAGGACTTTTTAAATACATTGTTGTAAAGTAAACATCAAATTGCTATGTCGGCATTAAATGTTTATTTAAGCCGATGCAGTCCCATAAGGAACGTTCATTTGTTTTCTGGCTTTAGCCTGTAGCAATTTGATCCGAATATTTTCTTTTGTCACCTCTGTATTTTAATCAATAAAATAAATGTTTTTTAAAATACAAGTTTCTGAATCGAAAATATAATTTGCTCTCAAAAATAAAATAAATAAATAAATAAATTGATTTTAGGCAATATGCAAATTCACAGACCGATAAGGTAGGCATAGATTGTTTTTTTTTTTTTTATCACATAAAACTAAATTGTCTATTTTTAAAGATTAATTGTAAGTACGTTTTACACAACAAATCAAACCGATAATAATTAACTTTATTAATCACTGTATAGAGAAAATTTTGCACTTTAGAATGATGCCAAACTCAACTATTATTTTTCGCTCGTACGCACTTGAAAAATAGAATGTTTAGGAGCGATTTAATTCACATCTATCAACTTCAGCGCTCGAGAGATGTTCCATTCGAAACGGTTGTAGTATTTTTTATTAACTCAGGATTGGTTTGTAGAATTTCCAGTGATGATAGGATCCATAATTGTCCATAGCCACCATTGGAATTTGGTTGGAAAAGTTTATAAACAAACATTGACTCTTTGTATATGCTAGAACAAGGAATTTGTGCAATAGCATTCAAGATTTTTAAAGTTGATCCATATAAATGCCTCAAAACCTGTCCAACTTCTTGTACGTTCGTTAATGGTGCAGCAAACAACAATAAATTAATGTGTCTTGCATTTGGAATTATTTCAGCATTATTTTCAATTTGGAAATAATTCAAAAATGTTGTAATGATGTAGGTAAATCACAAATCGCGATGCCCAGAAAAAAATTCATAATACATTGGAGAAAATATTTTTAATATGAAATTTTATTTTTTCCTAACATTATCCACCAAACCCAACAAAAATCACGAGCTTATATGTGAAGTGTTTTGCTTCTATTACTTGAATATTTCTTCCAATTTTTTTTTTTTTTTATATAAGTGGTGGTTTTTGCGTGAAACAAAGAGGCTTACCATTGGCCTTATTCGGATCACTATGCTCCTAATAAGGCCAACATTGAAAAATGCTTAAAGTAAATTCAATTATTCATAAAAATATTATTATTTGAGGAATAGTACACAAAATAGAACTTATACGTTTGCTGCATTCCTAAAAAAACAATAATTCCAATTCCTGGGATGGTGATCCAAATAGGTCTATATACAACTAGGACAAATGAATCGTAGCATCTTTTGCTTGGAGAGTCTCCACGCATTTCAAAAAACATCAACTAGGTAATAATATGACACATTCTTTTAGAAAAACACTGTGATGTGAGGCCAATTGAACATTTTTCGTCTGATGGCCTTATCAGGAACATGTTAAATTGATAAACAAAAGTCTGTAACTAGAAATCTAGCAAAGATATTATTCTGTACTTACTCTGTAGCTTTCTCAATACATAAATGTCCGTTAAAAAATTACAATCGTTCCATTCACTTTATAAACACGTATATAGGCTAATTGAGTTCCAGCCTCAAAGTTATAACGTGACATATGAAATATGTGGTTGGCCATTTTTCGACATATGACGAGTTGCTAGAAACCTTTGCAATAATTTTTGATTTGCATTATAGATTTCTTTTCTAATAATATTGTAATTTTTGGAAATGGGATTCAATATTAAGCAATAAAGGGCACTGGCCTTAATAGGTACCTGGCCTTATTTGGGTCAGGTACCTTATATATATTTTCTTTTTCTCACAAAAGAGATAATTGTTCCGGAAAAGTGAATGACCTTGAAAATTACGCCTGCGGCGCGTTTGTGGGTGGGACGATCCCTGAACCCCGTACCCCTTCCCCCAGACTGCTTCACGCGTCGCCACTGCTAGGACAAAGAATAATTCTTTTTTGGTTTGCGTTTGTTGTAAATGGCAAAAGTCTATTATTATCAGTGAAGAAAATTAATGCCTGCTAACACCCTTAAAGTGTTACAAAATTTTTCTTCCTCATTAATATTTAAGAATGACAGCTTGAGAGGTAATTACAAAAAGAAATTCCAGTGAAAGGTTTAAATCACTTATTAGTTTTTTTTGTATTTGCGCATATACAAGGGGTCAAAAAAGTGTGACATTTAAAAAAAAAAAAATTATGAACCACCCTGTACATTTTTATATTTTTTGATAGCGCTTTTAAAGATAAATATAAATATATATATATAGTTTGATAGGGTTGTTATGCATGGTCTCTGATTTATTTACGGTTATCTTCGGGGAACGGCCAATTTCTAGATTATTCTAGAAACGTTAAAAACAGATAGTCAACCATCGCAAACATGTCGATCTGACGTAGCTATGTTTCCTGATACATGTAGGTAAATCTAATTTTACGAATACTGTTTGATTTTTATTTCTAAATCACGGAAATCAACTTGGCCGACAAAAATAATGGCAAATTGGGGGAGTCCGATACCCCTAAAATGTTTGCGAGTCGCCTGCGCGCATACGTGCCATTTCCGAGAAAAGTCGTAGAGGAAAAGTTGTAGGACTTGATGTAAGCAAGCCACTCACAAAGTATGGGGTTTACATGTATAACTGAAAAAAAAGGTCCTTGGATGGTTGACTAAGAGACATGGTTAAAAAATATTATTTTAATGTCAGACTTTGACCAAAGTGAAATATATCGTCTTTGTCAACTAATTGTCAAAAATAAGTTCATTCAATTTGTGTTGTGGTATTGCCAAGCTTTGGAAATTGTCGTTTTCTTCATCTTTTTTAAATGGCATACCCTGTATATTTTTAGTTGTGAGTTTCATATCAACTTCCAATATTTGTTTTGTGGCATGAGAAAACTCTAATTTATAAATCCTAAAAGTTTCAAATTGCTGGGATGGCTCAAAGTATTTTTCAGGAACCTTCAAAGACGATTTTACAGGAACTTTATGATTTTCTCAGGTCAATGAGTAAAAAAATTTGCAACTTTAGTGGTGAGTTTCATATCAACTTCCAATATGTTTTGTATTATGAAAAAACTCTAATTAATAAATCCTGAAAGTTTCAAGAACAGAAAAACAAGCAAGAAAATATTGAACAACCTTAAGAAATAAACATTTCAAGATTCCGTTATTAATTTGAAGCAACTCCTTGATGTTCAGCAACCAACAAATTAGATGTTCAGCATTTCTAAATTAGCTAGTAATTAGAAGCAGGTGTATGGACCTGGGTATATAAATGGCCAATATTATTTTACAATTTCCAATGTAAGTTTTGCAGAATTTAATAATAAAACGATTCATACCTACCTTGCTGGTTAATCTATATATCTTGAAAGTGCAAATAATCAAATTGAGTTCATTTTGGAGTCATTTGATTATTGATCGCTACCATCATAATCTCTATTCAATTAGAGCTCATCAATTTAGATTCATTATGTTTAATTTATTATTTATGCACTTTGGCATACCTATTCCCATTAACTTATTTATTTGCCTAAGTGCGCGTTCACATTGACACCGCTCGAGCGGTGAGCGTTGCGCGATGCCGCTGTAGTGATGCCCAAAAATAATTTTAACATTATATTTCAAATGAACAAGTTCACACTGAGGCGGCGTGTCGCGCGGTGTTGACATGTTCATCTGAAATATAATGTTAAAATTATTTTTGGGCATCGCTACAGCGGCATCGCGCAACGCTCACCGCTCGAGCGGTGTCAATGTGAACGCGCGCTTAGAGTTCATTTTGACCATTGAACTCTTTGAACCTTTTCTTACAAGTCACATCCAGACGTAGGTATTTTTAATCATATACATATTTCACACTCACAGTAAATAATAATTATGTGTGTACCTACATGCTCTATCAATTCCATATAAGTGTTTATTTCAAGCAGCATTCCTACTTACAATTTTTCCTTATTTTCACTCAATGATTCTAACATATAAATTTAACTTAACTACTTTAGTTATTTATCATTTTAATAAAGACATTATTAGGAATGTCATACCGATATCTGGGAAAAACTTCCTCGTGATTAATCCTGATCAAAATAACTCCTGAAACTACTCATTGAATTCAAAATATTATACCAGGTGCATCCTTTTATAAAACTACTAATGACAAAACTATTTTCGGTAATCTTTCCAGAAACCTTTTATTAGCTATTTTATAATAAAAATTTCAGTTTGAGCTTGATTTAATTGTACCTACCTTTTATTTTCAGAAAACACTTTTTTTGCATACACGACATTATATGAATAACGCCTCGAAGAAAATTCGTAATGAGTGAAAAAGAAAACGTTGATATCCAAATTGTTCATGAATACTTTCAAAATTATCTGATAATGACATTTGATCACTCTTCAATAAAGACTTACATTTCAGAGCCCTCAAAACTACCTTCTAATTAACATTGGCCTACATTTTTTTGACACGCAGTGAGACAAACACCATATTAAAGCTAGAACAAAACAGTAAATTATAATATTACCGTCTAGCGTCCGGAAATAAAATTAAAGACTACACCAAACAATGATTAATGCAAATATAAAAATTGTAACATACAATATTTAGTCGAAACCATGTCCTTCACAAATATGGTTCTCAGAGCCACATTGTTTATAGTGATTTGGGCAAAATTAAAAACACCAAGTGAACAACCGAAATGTTCGGCAAGTAACAATGCACACAAAGTATTCTTATCATATTTCAGACAAGCAAAATATGTGGAGATTTTCAAGTTTCACGTTATGAATAAAACAGCTTACGAAGAAAATAACATCATTGACAATATTTTTGAGAATGCGAATAAACAATCAAAAATTCAAACTATAAACGTATACAAAACAAATAATGAAGATACAATAGACATGTATCTAAAAACTTATTCAGTCATTAAAGTGACAGAAACTATTAACCAGCCTAGAGAAATACGCATAAAACAAAAATTTTACAATTCAATATCATTTGAGCCACATCTTGTACAATTAATAATAGTTGATAATCCAATAACCCTTTATAACTATCTAAAATCAAATCCAATAAAACTAAAACATCTTAGAGGTCTAAATATCATAATATTTGCTTCAAATAAAGTCAAAATCAAAGATGTTCAAGATTTTTTAATATTCTACTGGGAAAAATATGGAGAGTTGAACGTTATAGTTCGAGCACCTGCAAGTTGTAAACTAATGAAATATTTTGTACTTTACAAACCATTCGAACCAACCGAATTTGGTTATGGACAAATTCAAATTCACCATTTGGATAACTTATTGAAAAATAATATTTATTTACTAGTGAATCATGCTGCACGTTTACATGGATACCCTTTGAAAATTTCCTTGTTTGAAAGATATCCTTTAGCTTTTAAAAATTTACCAAAATTATTAAAAGATTCTGAAATTTACAAGCCTTTTATAAATCGGCCTGGATTATATGGTACCGATGCTATCACTATGGGGTATCTATCCATAATAATGAATTTTAGTATAAATTTATGTACTCACATTGAGTGTCAATACTTCGGAACGGTTCTAGATAATAAAACGGTCATTGGAAGCTTAAGTAAAGTTGACGATAGAACCATTGATATTCAAGGAAATTCAAGATTTATTTTGGATTATGAAGTTACAGACAATGTTGAATTCACTTATCCTTATGATTTTGCTGAGTTTTGCATTGTACTGCCTAAAGCTCCTTTAGTGCCTGTTTGGTTGAAAATGCTGGGTTTATTTAAAAAAGAAGCAGGAATTAGCTTACTTATTGTAATATTGTTGATTTTTATTTGCAATAAATATTTAAATGGAATTACATTTTGGGATTCAGCTATGGATATTTATTCTATATTTATTTGGCAACCGGCAATAATATTTATGAAACGAACAAACCATTCGATAAGAATTTTTATTGGAAGTTCTTTATTGTTTTCATTACTTATAACAACAGTTTTAACTGCATCATTATATTCGGCACTACAAACCAAAATCCATTTTCCAGATGCCCAAACTCTACAAGAAGTAGATGAAAGTAATATAAAAATAATAAGTACTTTTGATCCTTTTGCAGGAAATCCATCAAAAATTTACAAACAATTGTCGAAGAAAATTACTGTTAATCCAAAACTTACCACAATTTTTGATTTTGTTCTTCAAGGTCTTGGAGCTGGACTGGAAAGGTACAAAGACGGGCAGTTCAGAATTAATACAGAATATTCGTTACCAGATGGTTCTCCTTTGATGCACATAGTGCCAGAATGTCCGAAAAAAGTATTCCTCGGCTATTTAGTATCAATCCGTTCGCCTTATTTACAAGCTATCAACTACTATTTGAAAATAATGACCGAAGCTGGCCTTTCGGATAAATGGCATCAGGATTTTATGCATGCCATAAAATTGGAAAGGCACACTCATTTGCAGAAAACCAAGGATAAGAGGAGAGTTTTGGATTTGCGCGATTTGCAAATTGCTTTTTATATTTTGGGGTATGGATTGGGCGCTGGGTTTTTGGTATTTTTGGTAGAGGTCTTCAAATACAGATATGGAATCCACTTAAGAATTATTAATAGTTAGTGATGTTATTGAATAATATATATGTTGTTGGTATGAAGTTAGAAAAGGGCATTTTTTGTTACACTCAAACTCTAGGTTTTTTTGGTTGGTCATAGGCAGAACCTGAAATTATGTTTCTCTGCTTTTTTTTTGTGTCATTGTCGTCTGGCCTCTACTTTTTCTTGTTCTCGCTGTAGTTGTTTGTTTTTTGGCTTCTCCGTTCACCGTAGAAGTCATTCAGTTTCTTTCTTCTTTTCTGCTCTTCTATTTTTACTTGTCTCCTGGACTTCGATTGAAGTACCAAACACGTTGGCATCATAAATGTCTATCTCAGTATTTGTTTTCTGAGCAGTTTTGAAGAATTTATTAATCTGACTTATATAATTGCCCATACAAATAATAAAATTGGGCTTATTCTAGATTCATTTTTTCAAAGATATCATAATTTAGACTTCATTATGTTTAATTTTTTATTTATTTATGAGTTAATGTGCACTTTGGCATATTCCCATTAACCTGTTTATTTGCCTTAGAGTTAATTTCGACCATTGAACTCTTTGAACCTTGTCGTACAAGCCACATCCAGACGTATTATTAATCATATACATATTTCACTTTCACAGTAAATATTTATGTATATGTGTTGGATTCTTTGAAATAATTAGTAGTGGACTGTATTATTTAGTATTTACATTTATTTACACGAACGACTATTTACACTATTTACAATTTCTCGTTTTTGTTTAATTTTGACTTATAGAGTCATATAAAATGGTCATTAGGACCTGGCCAAATTGATCTGGTGCGGTCGGTGAGAGTGAGGTGCGATTCGAAACTGCCCGTCCCGTCCGCATCAAAACATTCTGCCACCCAATCTAGCCATAGCCCGGAAACCTGACCAATCAAATTCGATGTGGCTATTTTAGGTGGCATAATGTTACTACATGCGCTGCATCAGGGGTCAGAATGTCGGGACGATGATGGCGCTATTTAAAGGGTCAGAATGTTATTGCATGGGCTAGATTCAGGGTCAGAATGTTACATGCGATAGAGCATTAGTATTAGATTTAACAAACAATGTTTGATGTTAAAGAATCTATAACTATATTTTGTACGTGTTATACAATTCAGAAATTTAGATTTTATTTGTGTTTCCTATGGATTTTTTCCATGAATATATTGAATAGATTGTTAGTTTTTTGATTGAGAGGGAGGAATTAAGAAAAATATCCATTTTGGATATAAGGGGTCAATAAATTTAGATTTTGCAAAATCTGAATACCTAATAATTAAAATTTAAGTAAGTTCTAAATTTTTCAAAGACTACACGTTTTTGTACAATTTCCTTCCAGTTTTATTTAAAAGAGTTTCCCATGCATTTTTTCGTTTTAATTGAACTAAATCTTGACATAAATCTTCTAGAACTTTGGGCAGTAGTGCCAAATTGTGTATGATTTTTCTTCATCAAATTGATAAGTGAGGCAAAAAAAAACTTCCCGAGTGTTTTCCTCTTGTTGGAGGTCGCTTGATAGTTAAACTATTATTTAGGTTAACAGTGCAACAGTAGTGAAATTTTCAGGACCTTCATCCACATAATCAGTTATGTTTTGATTTGCAACTGTAAATGGCATATAAAAATCTTTTGACTGGACATTCTCTCCATAAGCTAGCTGAGCAAATAACTACCTTGATTCGACACTATTGCTTGGAGTATTCGAAGATGCTTTTTGAAAATGATGTCGTTTTCGGATAACAAGTTTGCACGATAAGTGTTTTTACTCACACTACATAGAATAAACAAACGTTGTGGGTAGTTTTATCGCATTCATCTCCATCATAAATAAATACTTAAATGTCCGCATAAATTTCAATAGAGCAATGAGCGGGAAATGAACAAAACATGCGACACTTCTAACGGACAAGTGCAACAGGCCGTCTCGACATTCTGACCCCTGATCTAGCCCATGTAGTAACATTATGCCGCTCAAAATAGCCACGTTGAATTTGATTGGCCAGATTTCCGGGATATGGCTAGATTGGGCGGCAGAATGTTTTGATGCGTCCCGTCCCCGTTCGTTCACTCGCGTAGATGCCGGAAGCCACCTGCCCGAACACTTGACAAGTGATATTTGACACACACGCGCACTTCCGGTGTAGATGCATAGAGGGAAAATTAAAATTTTATTTTAAATTTCTTGTAGGAATATTGTTTCTAACATATTATGTACTGTTTAGGCCTCTGATTGAGGTGTCAACATTATTTAGGAGTAGATCACTGGATCATAAAGGGGATACGGACGCCACTGCTAAATTATGCACTCAACACTCTTTCCTTTAATTCTCTCTATTGTTGCATAACATCAAAAATCTAACAAGTTTGTGCAGGACAAGATAATATTGTTATCAGGCACTAGCCTAATCCACTAACCAGTGTCAGACTGGGGGTCATTTGGCCCACCGGGCAAATAGTGAAGTGGCCCACCCAACCCAAACCCCATTCAATAATAGTTATTTATATTACTAGTACGGTATGAGGTTCATTACAGTAACAAGTTGGGAATATTGACAAGACGAGGTCGTAGACCGAGTCGCTGTAATCACACAGTGGCGTAACTTCAGATTTTGGACCTGGGGGCAAAGTGGTTTGGCGAGGCCCAATTACAATATTGCAGTGGTGTATGCAATATTCTGCAAATGTCTGTTTGTCTAAGGGCCAAATTATGGACCCACTGGTAACGTCATTGACAAATTTATCCTGTTGACTATCTGCAAGATAAAAATGACCGTTCTTTAATTCTGGTCGGTGGGCCGACAAATGGGATTATAAATTGCGTTTCTATCCGTCAGATTGCATACCTAACAGTTTATTAGAAAGTGAATAAACCGGCCCTAACTTATAAGAACCCGGAAACCGCCTACCCATCTTCCACGCTAAGAGCTAACACTACCGACCGCGATTTTGCTACTTGCGGAATACCTATATTTTCGAATCAGTGTGAGTAGTAGATAGATAAGTAAGTCAGCAAAATTTCTGAAAATGAGACAATACCGACATCACTGTCGGAGCCAGGGGAGGGAAAGTCCCTTAAATTTTATGAATAATTCTTCAAAATTAAAATAAACAGTCTCAAAAATAGCGTTAGTGCGGTGTCACACTATGCGTTTTTAACGCTGCGGCAAGAAAGGATGCATTTTGACCGGATGAACTCTACTTGTCACACTTATCCCATCGGGATCCGTTTTAACGGGATGTTTTGTAGTGGTAGATTCATGGCGAATTTATTAAAGATTATTTTAAATAACCTTTCTCATCTTTCTCTGTTGAGTCAAGCTCTATCCAATTCTCTCATAGTTTCTCCAAATTCCACCCAGACTTTCTCTCTACAGTTTTTATCTGAGTATTCTTTCGACCTTTTCTCCCATAATACTTATTTACCGTAGACGCACTCATAGGATAGATCTACGTTAAACATGATGAAATGTAATGAAAAAACAAACCACGAACTCTGAAGAACCGCTGCGTTCGAACCGTCAGGTGTGACTACAAACATACAATTGCACGTGTTTTCGTTCTATTGCGGTCGTCCGGTCGTGCGGTGCCGCCGCAGCATGATGCGGTTGCATCCGGTTTGGGTGCGGTACAACGCTGTATGTGACAGCTCCGATTTAATACAATGGGTTTACACCATTCCCTCAAACCGAAGCGTTCTTGCCGCAGCGGTGAAAACGCTATGTGTGACACCACACTAAGGAAACCTAAAAAAAGGACGTGGCACCCAAATATTTCGCGCCTGCATGCGGCGCTTTGCCTCCGGCGGCGGTCGCGGTGAAGCCGCGAGTAACACACTTCCTGCAAATTTGCCCCCCCCCCCAAGACAAAATCCTGGCTACGGCACTGTTCGACATCTCCATTGTATCATTACTTAGAGTAGCCTGAACTGGTCTTCCAAATACTTCGTGGAAGACAAGTCCAGACTACTCTAAATAATGATACAATGGAGATGTCGGTATCAAAAGGCTGCCCACAGGGTGAGGTCCTATCTCCCCTACTATGGGACTTGGTCGTAGACGAATTTCTAGTAGACCTTAATAGCAGGAATATTGATGCCCAGGTTTACTGAGATGATGTAGTAACCGTAGTCATATGGGAAAAAACCTACAAACTACTTCTGCGAAAACGCAAAGAGCGCTTAAAATCGTGGAAGACTGGGTCAAAGGGGCGAACCTGAGTGACAACCCTAAGAACAGCTATAATCCCCTCCATGAAAAGAAGAAAATTGGACGATCTAGTCCCTCCCACCTTCTTCGGAAAGCAATTACAATTCGTCCGGGAAGTCAAATACCTAGGAATTATCCTGGATGCAAAATTAAACTGGAACGCCCATATTGAATACGCCACCAACAAAGGTAAAATGGCGCTTATGGCCACCAAAAGAGCAGTGGCAAAAACATGGGGATTTCTACCCCACATAGTATATTGGATCTATAGAGTAGTGGTAAGAATAACCTACGGATCAATAATCTGGTGGCTAAAAGTCGAACAGAGCGAAGCAATAATGGAGCTATCCAAACTTCAAAGACTTACTTGTCTCAGAATAAAGCCCGGGATACATCTATCATGCATTCTTCCGATCCGACTCCGATCATGCAATCAAGGTCCTTATTCTTGGAACAGGGAGGGTTCCGCCTTTCTCAATGATATATGCAACTGATAATATGAGTAACGAAGAAGGTACACTCGTTCTCCTGGGAACGCTGCTCCCCTGCTCCAAGAATAAAAACGTTGGTTGTATGATCGGAGTCGGATCGGAAGAATGCATGATAGATGTGTCCCGGCCTTTATGGGTACAATGAGAAGCACTCCAACTGCTGCTACAGAAACCATACTAAACCTCCCGCCAATTGATATCATTATCAAAGTTGAGGGAATTGTTACAAACTCACTATTCGAGATGAAGAGTGACATCATGACCCCGAGAATAAAATACTCACAAACCGTTTCAAACCGAGATTAACTGGGA